CTGGCCGTCCACGGCAGCCACGGCTTTCTGCGGGGCGCCCCCCTGCTGTGCTCCGGGGGGCCACGTGGGCTGTGGGCGGTGCAGGTGGTGGAAGCTGTGGGCCGTCGGGGAGGAGGGTGGGATCCAGGCGGCCTGGTGGCTGGGCGGGGACGAGGCCCAGAAGGGGCTGAAGTTGGCGGGCGGGGAGCAGGCCGCGGCGGTCATGGGGCTGTTGCTGCTTTGCAGGCCCTCGGAGGCACGAAGCTTGGAGAACATGGCCAGGGCGTCGGGGAAGTTGGGCGGGGTGGCGGGGGTGTTGCTGGGGGTGCACATCTGCTGGGAGAGAACACAGGTGTGAGGAGGGCCGCCCCAGGGGCCCACTTTCAGCACCCCCAACTTCAGCCACAATGTCAGTCCTCTCCCCACAACCGCACCGGCCCCGGGCGTGATGCTGGGCGGGCAGCAGTAACTGTGGCCAGAGAGCCAGGGCGTCTAGGGTGTCGGGTGAAAACAGGACGGGGGCAGCCCAGGACACCCCGGGGAAGAACCAGCTGGCTCCCTCCGTAATCCGCCCTCACAGCCGAGGCTGTCGCCCGGGGCAGGCAGCCAGACCCAGGTCCCCGAGAAGCTGCACTTCCGTGGGCCTGGGCTCGTCCCCGGGGGCTCGGCCCGCAGCCTCTGCCCCGCCACACTCAGGCCCGGGGACGCACGGGGCATGGCGGCCAGTCGTGAGCCTGCGACACCGCGGGGAGGCCGGGCCCGGCGCGGCCCTCGCTGTGCTGCCCGCTGCGACGCCTCCCGCAGGGGCGCCCCCGAGCCTGGGCCTTCAGCCTCCCGTGTCCCCAGTGGGACCCCCTCCCCGGTGTCTGCTTTCCAGCCCGGGGAGAAGTCACAAACAGCTCAACCCATGAGCCCTGCCGCCAGCAGGGCGGGGGCGCCCCCATGTCCTCGCGGCCCTGGCCCTGGGCAGCAGGGAGCAGGGGCTGGGATGGGGTGCTGCCCCGTGGCTGGCCTTCCCCTGGACCGGGTGCCGCCAGGAGCGCCCCAGCAGGGGCGTGGGAAGTGGGGGCAGACCGCAGCACCCATACAGCGCCCTGCCCGCAGTCCCCAGGAAGCGTGGAGTCCTTCTTTGAGTTTCTCCTAATTTTAGTAACACCCGCCCCTCCCCCTGGCCTGGGAGGGGAAGAGGGGACAGCAGGATTCTGGGGCTCTTCACCTGGCAGGAGAGGAGCCCCTCACGGCTCTGCAGTTACACCCCAACTGAAAATGGGGAGGGGACCCTGGAAGGGAACGACACCCCACCCTGTTAGCTGGCCGGCACTAGCAGAAGCCAGGGAGCTGACCGGTCTTCCCCAGGGCCTGCTTCCTGGACTGCGAGGCCTGGCCCCACCCGGATCCCCCTCCTCCCTTCACTACCCCTTCCCAGGGCCACTTCTCAGCAGCAGGAAACAATGAATGGGGGTGGGGAGGGGTAGAGGCCAATTGCATCACAGCATCGTGACCCACTTCCCCAGTTCACAAGGCTCTGAGGCCCCAGCTCAGGCCTGTGAGCGCAGGCAAGTGCTTGGCCCTCCCGACCCTCTGCGCTGTGGTCGGGACGTGGACAGGGTCCAGCTGGGGCTTTCCTGTGTCCATCCCACCCAGCGCCCACCGCACCCTGCCGCGTCCTGCCCTCCCAACCCACAGCCCCTGGCCTTCGGGCCAACTCAGGAGCCCCTTCTGGGAGGAAGGCCAGCGGGAGCACAGTGACCGAGGGCTGGCCATCTGCGCCCAGTGGACGGTGGCTCCCTCCAGTGTGCCGGCAAGTCCTGGGGGAGGGCACCCCGCCACCACACCTGCCTCGAGGGTGGCTCTAGAGGATCAGGCCTTGGGCTGGGCAGCCAGGAGGGAGCAGGGCCTACAGGGCCGGTAGCTGTCCCCGCTGGCCCTGAAGCAAACCCCTGGGCTCTCAGGTGGAGGCAGGGCGCACCCCACTTCATGCCAAGAAGCGAGGCTGTGCTCTCCCCCGCGGGCGAGGTGCTGGGGCTCCCTGGAAGGACATGGCTGGGGCCGGGACCGGGCCATATCCCGAGTTGGTGGCGGTGGTGCCTCCCGGCCGACGCTCCAGGAGGCCAGGAGACAGGGCCGGGGGTCGGGCAGACCCCTCCTTGCCTGTCCTTTGCAGTTTGATGTAAACAGAGCGCAAGGCCGGTGGGGGGACCATCTGCAGCTCTCCGGGGCGCCCCGGGCAGGGACACCAAGTGTTAAAAATGCCAAAAATGCACTCCAGAAGCCGCCACACATCTCCGAGTAATGTTTTACAACTGCTATCGCAGCGGCCTCCCCTCCCCCAGCAGGCTCACAGGTAAAGGGGGCGGAGTCCGGCCTGGGCTGGGGGCGGCCTGGTCCGGCAGGAAGCGGGGGGGTCGCCCAGGCGGGGCCGGACGCGGACCCTGCTTTCCCCACTGCGGGCCTCTCCCCTGCCTAGATAAATGCCAATTCTTGGCCTCTCTGGCCACCCTCCGCGTGTCCTCCAGCCGGGGTATGTCCTTTTCCCACGCGCAGGGAAGTGGGGGCGCATACCTCGCTGGGGAGCGCCGGGCCCCTGGGCGTCCCTGCTGCCCACGGAGCTGGCTTCTCTGGCTGGGGGGGCTGCCGCTAGCAACAGCAAGCGCCCCACTAACCGC